CCAGGCACTTGGCAACCTCGACAATCCCCATCTGGTCCAGTTCACCACGGACGCCTTCGAGACTGAGACCGAGATCACGGGCCACATCGTCACACACTTGAATGTATCGATGAGCGCGAACCCGGGCGCGGAAACACCCCAGGATCTGGATTTGTTTGTGACATTGCGGTACATCTCGCCGGCCGGAAAAGAAGTCTTCTACACTGGTACGGCTGGTGACCCTGTGCCATTGTGCAAGGGCTGGCTACGTGTATCGATGAGACAGGTTGATGCCGAGAACCCGAAGCACCGGGATTATTTGCCTCATCGGAACTACTACTCAACTGATGCCAAGCCTGTGATTCCTGGTGAGGTCTATCCAGTTGACGTGGAGGTTTGGCCGACGAATGTGGTTGTCGAGAAGGGTGGTAAAATTGTTCTGGAGATTAGTAGTGGTGATACTCAGGGTTCTGGGATCTTCCAGCATAACTCGCCTGAAGACCGGTTAGTACTTCCTTTCCTGTGTTGGGGTGATTTTGGCTAATTGTGATGTCTGCAGATCTGTTGAACGCTTCCAGGGACAGAATCATATTCACTTTGGTCTTGCGGAGAACTATGTTACTCTGCCTATTATTCCGTCTGCTTAGGAGTTTAGAAGAAGTAAATAGTATAGAATTGAATGAATGCATGCATATCGAGTTTCAAACGATATCGGACCATTCCCAATTGAGCAATCCCTAACGGACTTCCCTCACGTAACAGCCATGCCATATGTAACATAACACCCAGCTAGCCCCTGCTAACCTCTGTTCATTGCCAGCTCACTACATTATTAATTTCCCCTTCTGTCCGACCTCGGCTCCAAAGTTGGAGTCCGAATTCCCACATCTATCCGATGTGGACAACAACCCGACGCGGGGAGAGCAGACACAAGATATAGATAGGACAAAATTCCTGTACAAGCCATCATAAATCTTACAACAGCACTCTCAATCTTCATTTCAATCCAATTCCACTAACAACAACCAAAAATGGCCCACGAAACCCCCAAAAACATCCGCCCCCTCAAACGCTTCATAACAACTCACAATGAAACGGGCAAAGCAATCTTCTCAAACGACCTCCCAGAGTTAATGCCCGTCCAAAAAATAGCCGACGGCGCCGACTTCAGCCTAGCCTACACATCAGACCACTTTCCCGCGCAATTAAACAACAAAACGGACATAACCGAATACTCAAACTACCTGACGAGCCCACCAGGCATAGTCGTCTCAGGCGGAACAGTCTGCCGGATTGTGGATATGCACCCTGGATCCTTGAGCCCAATGCACCGCACCGTATCCCTGGATTACGGCGTCGTCCTCGAAGGCGAGGTTGAGCTCGTGCTTGATTCGGGTGAAGTGCGGCTACTCAAGCGTGGCGATGTTGCTGTGCAGCGTGGGACGAATCATGCTTGGAGGAATGTCACTCCTGATGTTGTTGACGAGAATGGTGTGAAGACTGGTCAGTGGGCTAGGATGTTGTATGTTCTTCAGCCTTCGGAGGAGATTGAGATTGATGGACGTCGATTGGGGGAGGTTGTTGATGGCATCGGTGTTCGCGCTAGTACTTGATTTGTATGTACTTGACTTGGCATTCGTTTATATTAAATGTGATGAATGGGAAATAGCAGATTTTGGTTCTTAGCAAAGGAGTCAAACGATCTTATTATAATACAGCCTTCTTCTTCAAGCTCTTGCTCTTCAGGAATTCGCACTTCGTGGCTTGCCATAAAGATATTCATGCCCATTTCTCGTTGTGATTGGGCTCTATGACTTGGACTTTCCGCCGGGTTTCGAGATTGATGAGAGGAATTACGCAGCTGCATCCCTTTGCCTACTCCATGTCAATTCTTTTCCGGAAGGTATCTGTATTGTGCTTGTCAAGAGTACTTATAGACGGGCAAATTGATAGAGGTGCAGTTATCGTTTCTCTCGACATTCCTTAGTTAGTACTGATGCGGCATTGTGGACGTTGACGTTGTTGTCTTTACGTGTTTTAAGTGTCCATGATGTATCAGAACAAACCCGATGACGTTCAAACACGCTCTTACTCTTTTCTAGGCACTGCATTGTGTAATTACTTGGATAGCAGTAGTAAAATCAAAAGAAGTTGTACTCCAAACTGATAAATCCCAATTGTCAACCAATATAATACCAAATCTACCACTCCCCACCAACATCATAATGAAAGATCTTATCATTTATTCTCCCCCCAGTAAACCGCCAGAGTCGTGAAACAGCCTGTACATAGTCAATATCGGATACAAACGGCATCACAGAGGAGAACCAACAGCATTAAGCCACACGCCATGCAACATAACTTGAATAAACACCATCTCCGCCGGATTACTACCCCCAGGCCTCTCCTCAAAAGACAGATTGCGATTTGTAGGACGGTAAGCTGGTATGCGACGGTGATCTGTTGGCCAGTCTGCGGGTTGCCGTGTGGTTATGTGGGAGGCATGTTCGTGTTCGTCATGGTTGTCATTTCCGCTGTGATGGACTTCGTAGTCCGCGAGAATGGAGAGGGTTTGGGTTGTTGTAGTAGTAGTTGTCATGATGAGAGGTGACAAGCAAGAATCACGAATGGAGAAGCAAGTATGAACTACCTAGGAATGGAATATGGAGTAGGACTATGAAGTAAAGGAAGTCCCGGAGTCCCCAGACTTAGGGCTTGGCAACTCCCCCACATGTCCACATCCCGACTCGGACATATGTACTTGTCTACTATGTCCGAGCTATTCCTACTTCCGATGTCCATTTATTCTATATTCATTCCAGGAGATCCCAATATCGAAATATCAAATCTCTATGCCATCCAAAATGGATCTATCCCGCATCCTGGCCGCGAATATCGACGGCCGCACCCAAAACGCCCGCTACCGCCAATCCCAATTCCAAAAGCTCCAATCAAACCTAGTGAAGCATATCGCCTCAATTCAAGATGCCATAAGCTCAGACTCAGGCCACACACGCGCAGAGGTTCGCGCCGAGGTTGTGCTGGCGCTGCAGGATATCCGGACCCATTACTCCAGTGTGAGTCTGGAGAAGGATCTCGAGGCTGAGTATCGCATTGCACGTGGTATAGACAACGCAGACGGCATGCGTGGCAATGGCATTGTATACATCATACCGAATGCGCATACACTGTTCTATTCCGTTATCTCGGCGTTGAGTGCTGCTCTCGCCGCGGGGAATTGTGTCGTTCTCGAGGTTTGTTTCTCTCTTCTCCTTTCATAGAGACCCAAGTACTAACTATACTACCCAGCTTGCTCAAACAACAAGCGCTCTCCCAGCCCTCCTACGAAAGATCCTACCAGAAGCACTAGACAATGACACATTCACCATCACAGCCCAAAGACCGGATCCTTCATTTTTGAACAAGGCATTGATAGTCGACCAAACCGGAGAGTCGAACACCAACGGCGGTCTAGTCTCACCGGCAACCGCAAGAACAGTAGCTATCGTCGACCGCACAGCCAACATCACCGAAGCCGCAAGGGAATTGGTAGCAGCGCGGTTCGCGCTTGGTGGCCGGTCACCGTATAGTCCGGATCTAGTGCTCGTGCACGAATTCGCGATGAAACCATTCGTCGAGGCTGTTATTCAACACGCATCAAAGTATCTTGCTGGTGAGAATGGAGAGGCGCGATCTCTTTCGAGGAAATCTGCTTTATTGGACTCCATCCAGAAGGATAGAAGTGCGCGGGTTCTTGTTTCTGGGAGTAATTGGGGTGTTGTTGAGGTTCAAGATCGGTGAGTTTATTATCAGATCTAATCACAGATACTGGCTATGATTGTTCTAACACTGAGACGATAGGAAATCACCCCTACTGCAGAAGAAGATTGCGGAGAAAGTGTTGCTTGTTCATCCATTCTCTAGCTTGGATGATGCTATTGATGCAAACTTGTATGTTTCCAACCACATCTATCCTATTCCCATCCATGCATACATCTAACATATCAATAGTAACCAAACACTGGCAGCAACCTATGCCTTTGCAGCCCCATCTTCAGCCAAATACTTGACCCAATTCATCGATGCTCATGTTTCATGGGTTAACCATATCCCCAGCCACATGCTCAGTAAGAATATACCAGATTTGCAACCTAAACAGAATATAAAATGCTAACCAATGGATAGTCGGTCCAGCCATCCCTAAGAACACAATCCCGTTCAGCAAATCCCGCTACATAAAGACTCAATTCGAGCTCCCACGCCCAAAACTAATCACCCCAATTCCCAGCTCAGTGCAAGTTATTCTTGATAACAATACAAGCAAGGCCGATACACTGTGGCGGGAGGCTATTGCACCGTTGGCATCGACAAAGCAAAGACCAGGCTTTAAGATTGGGTTCTTTGAACAGGGGATTATTACTGGCGGTCTTATTACGCTTGCTTCGTTGGTTGCTACTGTTTCTACGCTGGGATATTATACTTGGACTTATGTGCGGAGGGTTTAATTAGGTGTTGAATAGAATGTCTTGTTTGGTTTCTTCCTTTGCTAGACTCTAATTTGTGAACAGCTAGAATTCCAAAACCTCGCATTGGAAAGAGCCAAAGTGTAATCTATGTAGCCATTGAGCACCGGTGCCTGCACAGCCTTGGGGCGAAGGAAGCGAAGGCCTACTCGTCAATACCCTTCTATTCAAAATCCACGGCAATATTCAAGAGGAAGCATCTATGGTGATCCTCTTCAAATGTTCTCGTATATGAACAGCCGACTTGAGAAAGCCAACAGATCTTACACAGCACGTGTGATCAGCTGAGCCTCGTTGCCTGCACCAAGTCAGAGCTTCGCCCTCTGAAATCGCCGAATACTGATCTCCAGCCCTTTGACGTATTTTGCATCAGACATCTTAAAGAACCCAATCTACAAAGAATATGCGGACAAGGTACATATCACTTCTCCTGTCGCGTCACGACAATGTAAATGAATGAGACGCAATGCCTCTCATCGGTTGTATTGATTGCTAATAATGCCTTGGCAAACTTACGAATATATCCGTACTGCAGTGGGAGAACTGGTGACGGTATGGAGAAGGTGTTTAGAGTGAGAAACACGCTGAAATCTACTGAACACTCGTTTACCAATCAGCCTCTGTTTCCTACTGGGAGCACCTTCGCCGACCAAGTGGCTCCTGCTTCGTTCAGCAAACGTGACCAGGATGAGTCGATGGGCGGGAATGATCCATGGAAGATTGAAAGTATGTGCCATCGACTCCTAATTTTGGATCAAACTAACCATATACCTTCTTTTCCAGGTATTGAGCTGCTTGATGAGGAGGACGGGGGCCCTCTGTGGGACGATGTGGACTGGGAGGACATGAAGTTTGAGCATGCAGCAGATTCAAATTAACTTGAAACGTCTTGTCTCTAAGAGCCAGATATACTGGCTTGAGTACAATAGACCTTTCCTTATTATGTCTCTTATGTTTCTTCCAATTGATTTTATACAATTTTCTTTTCTCTAGCACGCGGAGTATTTTTCATGGATCATCCTTCACCAGACGAGAATGACTGGCTTTATATCTACATGTACTAGCTCACAGTCTCACGTCTTCAAAGAGTGTATGGGGGACCTCGGCTTCCACCCTCCTGATAAGCAGGACCGACTTCTCCACGCTCACCTTCAAAGTCCCCTTTCCAAACACGCTCAAACCAAGCGCCATCATAATTGCTCTCCGATCCATCATCCTACACCCGCCATTGCCTGACCACATTCCCACGGTCGTCCAAAAACACATGCAACAAACCCCCGCCATTCACCGCGACATCATCCTCCACATACATATAGGTAACAACACACTCTGCCTGATACAGAGCGTAGGGCTCAAGAGGGTTTTCATCCCAGTCGCCTTCTTCGGCATCCTCTATCGCGTCCCTAAGGCTCTCCTCTCTATTCTCAAAATTGACCCGCTCATTTACGACACGCTCAGGAAATATTTCCAGAGCAGCTGCCAAATCCAGGCCACCGAAAATACTTTCATCGTCAAGGACAACCCCATCATAAGTTACCCATTCTGCGAGTTCATTGGCAGACCATAGAGTATTATAACCCTCTTCATTCGTGTAGCAGAGACGAAGCCAGCAGCCATTGTCAGCAGTGGTGTTATGACCGTAGACACGCAGTGCTTTAGGCCTTGCAGGCCGAAGAATATCATCTATTTGAGCTTGAGTAGGAGAGGGTGGTGCATTGCCTGGTCGATAAGGCTAATAATTTGATATTCAGTTAGTTCAACGTTGTGGTTTTACGAGGTATAGAGGGCTTTCACCTGTCTTCCTTCGCATCCCAATGCGAGAAATTGGCGTAAAAGCCTTTTGCGACGGTCGGCGGGGGACTTAGTGGAGACTGAGGGGTCTGGGTGAGGTTTTTCCCATTCGGAAAGCAAATAAATATCCAATCTAGTCTTCCCCCAAGCAGGTATCCGGGGGTTATGTTTTTCAATGAAGTGGAGTGGCATTTTGTCCTTCGTCGCGTGGCGTGGGAGTTCTAGGAGGAAGATACACGGAGAAACACACAGCCGGGCCTTCTTGATAGGGACCGTTATCTTGTAATTTCCCTTCTTTCCCCGCGGAACTTGTGTACGCTGTGCTTGAGCCAACAGATCCGATACCAAAGTCATCGGGGCAATTGCTAGATCCAAAGGTGGACGGTGAACTTTGGGCATTGACGCCGTCGATGTACCTGCTGCCGCTCTGTTTCATTCGCGACGGCAGTGATACGATTCACTGGGGAGGTGCCCGAAAAGTGTAAAAACAACAGGATCATGCAACTGATGTAGCTTTTATCGGAGTATTGACTTCGCCCATTTGACGGCTTCTTCGTTTGTAAAGCTGTGCCGAGGCTCTGCACAATCAATTGATTTCCAGAGGCAATGACCTGGCCGGCACAGATACCGTGAGCTTTCACTTGCGCCGTGGTGTGTGGCCTGGTGTGACACTTCACCTAAAGCTTTCAGGGTTTCCAATTAGTACTAGTGCACCTTATTAATCTCTCCTAGAAATGTATTAGTTTAGACTAAGTCAGAAGGAAAGGCTCAAATGTCTCACAGCCATTGGTCTATGTCGTGATCTGGCGCTTTGTTGAGAAGAGCGGGCATCATGGATCAAAACTAGTTGCGTAAGGAGTCATATAAAGGGAGACACCACACCTAACGTGATCTTTATAGCCGGGACAAGGTATATAGAGAGCATTCGTTAGTGAAGCCGAGATTTAGTACGTGTAGTCAGACTAGGGAATCAAGCAACTATTAGTTCCCTCTTAGATCTCGGTTTATTTATGCCATCTAATTCAGTCAGCCTAGGACCCCTACAAAATCACAACCCCCTTATACGAAAATGACAGCTAGGTTATCTTCCAATTTAGGCTTTAGCCGTAGATCACGAACCCATAGTTCAAGCATATACACCGATACCTACTAGGTTGTCAGTTTCCTTTGCGGCGTAAGGTAATCTGCGTAGTAGTATTATGTTAGGCTTCTACTCTAGCTAGAGAGATGAAGAAAAGACAGACCTAGAATATTGAAGAATAGCAAGATTATGAGTAGTTCCTATAAGACCTTGATAAGAAATGTTTGAACTTTAGATATTCTCGCTTTGAAGGAGGGATTAGTGTTCTTTTATATTTATAAAATCTACTTACAGTCATGTTTCTCATGGATAGGGACTAGCTTTTTTGCTCCTAGTATCTATTCTGTCTCACCAATCATATTGTGGCGGCACGAAAGGTCTAGAAGCTCCTAGGAATACCTACCAAGCTTCATTTGCTTAGTATAAGGTGTTTATAGGTGCTAGTTAGAATATCTCGGGCAAATGAGGGGTCGCGAATGCCATTATAGGAGGCTAGGCTATCTAGTAGACATGGCCAATACGTCTAGAATGGTTTTGCAGATATTCAGGTCGCTAGAGTTGAAGTCGTATTCCTAGGAGCAAGCGGCAAACAGCAACAGTGATAGTCCGTCGAAGATCAAGGGGAAAGAAAAAAGAGTAAATCACCAGATTGGATTACAAACCATTTAATTGAGAGTTTCTGAGATATTCCTAGATATTGTAAAACCAAAAATGAGGGTGGGATATTTTACGCAACTGAGACGGTATCGGGGATGGGGAAACTCGACGAGTTGAATAATGGCATAGCTACAAAATAGTAATGCCAATTAATGTGGCCCCACTGTGCTGTTGGAGACAAAACAACCAGGATCAACCGCCATGCCATCCTTCGTTAAGGGAAAGCCAAGACTTGTCAGACATTATCCGGTATATATGCGAAGGTAACGAGGTCGGTCATAATGACGATGAAAGTTGACCCACAACTAAAACAGCCACGCCTTGCAGGGTCCAACAGACCATATACGTCAAAGATTGACGAGTTCCCATTTTGAAGGTACAGCAATATTCGAAATTGGCTTCCACGTTTTACACAGAGAAACTATCTCAAGTCCCACCGCCCAAGACGATAGTGAATCTCACTAGGCCCGTTTCGGCTAGGTCACAGATCAGCTCTGCTCATCAGAAAGCTGATACGCTGAGATCGTTGAATCATTGTATATACCACATCCTCCTGCCCTCAAACCGATGCGGCTTACGGAGTCAGATGCGGTCTGTTCGAGCACTTCTATCGACCATACACTACAACCATTCCATTCGCCGTTTGTCTCGAAAGACAAAAGGTGCACGACCCGTCTCGCAAATTTATGACGATTACCAGTGGCCTGAGTTCGATACTCCATGAGTACAAGCTCGGTCTGTCGAAGAGATGGAGATTCAAGGCAGACTCGGGGTTGTCTACTGTGCATAGCGATGACGAGGTTACGACCATAGAACCATAACATCAAATAATATCATGAGTTTCGGATACTTCTAAACCCTTAACATTACAGGTCCATGTCATCTTCATCAGGCAAAGGCATAGCGTGGTCGACAGCGTAGTCACTCAACTCTTCCGCCAAAGTCCAGCTCTTGACTTCCTTCGGCTCTCTCATGCAGCGCACCAGATCAATATTAGAGTCATCCATAGCAAGCTTCAGCCCCCGCACAAGCTCCCATGTCCACGTGTCTTTCTTCCATTCCTTCCAGATCATTTGACTTGTATACCACATATCAAGAACCACACCCGCACCCTGCATTGCATGCCTGAGTGGCCCATCCATCCTGGCCGGATTGAAAGACGGACTTGGATCTGAGTGAAGGCTAGCAAAGCTACTGCTTAAAGTCTTACTTTGCGACCATAAGACTCTGAAATAGAAGTATTCCGGCGCAACCTCCGAAGTATTCACGACCAGATCGTACAGTATGTTCATTTGTAACCCACCAAGTGCTTGTAGTGGAATTTCCCAGCGATGCAGGTCTATCACGCTGGATGGCGACACGCTACGCTCCACCCATCCCAGCGCCATGATAGGTGGTTGCTGGACAAGCATTCGGCGCCAGCTCGCCTCCGGCCGCCGATATATGTCGCTGCTCTCTAGGAAATCCTGCATGTCGCCGGCGCCAAAGGCGATGGCACATGACTTAGGGTCATCGGCGGGGAACCAGTATGGAAATTTGGATGCTAGCAGGGGGTTTTGTTGGCGTGGCCTGTTGGCTGGTGCTGGTTGGAAGAATAGAATTTGTTGCATTAGGGAAGATCCTCGGATGCATAGGGCCCATTGTCGGCAGACTCGTTGGGCGAGGAGGACGGTTTTCATGTCTACTTGCCTGAGAATCGCTTCGATAAGCTCGTTCGGTAATGATCGGAGGTCCATGATTTGGTTTTAGCAAGCTGAGATGCGTTCCCCCTTTTGGAAGTACTGTATTCACAAAATAGGGACTGTGGATGGCAACCAACAACGCGTGATGGAGGCACTGGGCAGGGTTCTGGTCGATCTAAGAGAACATGCGGCTGTTAGTCGATCAAACTTGGCCCTATCTTCAAACGCTTTCGGGATCCTACCGCCGAAGAATTTTATTACTCAAATGTTGATCCCTACCTGGGCGCCTGAGTTTCCATCCCCAAGTCTTATAGACTCCAGAGTCAAAACACAACACCCGCTGATCTGTGGCCTAGCCCAAACGGGCCTAGTGAGGGGGTACAATTATCTTGGCGGTTGGGCGTGAGGCAATTTCTCTGTTAAAACATGGAAGCCAGTTTCGAATATTGCTGTAAGGGCAAAGTCGGAAATCATAATAATTTTGGGAATCCTGTTACGGGGTGATAATGACGAGTGAAAGGGGATATACTCAAATAGACACCCGTCTTTCATGTCTCGTCAAGAAGACCCCATTCCGTTCGCAGACCTTGCACAGAGTCATGGGTATTCCATCCTCAAAGGGCGTGCTTGGCTGCACGCGAAAACGGTATATTGGATATTGAGTGTTGTGGGAAATTGGGAGGGGAAGTCAGAGGAATTAGAACAATGGAATATTAGACGCCTTTTCCCTGAGTTATAAACAAACGCATATAAATAAGCGCATATACAGTTTTGACGATATCAAATTTGAAAGCTTCATAGAAGTAGATCACGGGTCTCCGCAACTTCCCCAACTTCCCCACATCTCGTGTCTTCCGCATCAAACAACGAACAACAACTCAACCATGCCCCAATGCAGTTCTCCCTAGAAGAACCAGACCCCTCAAACTATGCAATGACAGAGGATCCTCGCAGTTCGCGGTTTATTATGTAGTAGCAGGAGCATGGCCGTATGGTAAAGCTGGGAAGAGATCTGGGAAGAGAAGTGCCATGGATCTTGAGCTTTTGTCCTTGTTTTCTCCGAGGGGGTCGGTTGGCAGGCATTGGACCCGTGAAGTTGCACCGATTGCGGCCACATGCTAGTTTCGGCTGGCGGTCGGATTTTTTCTCCGCAGCGGCGCTTGTCGTTTGCCCGTCTCCATCGGAGCTTAACCTTAAAGGGAGGATCTTGCGATGTTCAAGCTTCGCCCCGTCGCCAGCGGACGTGTCAGTTGGGCCGAATCTATCAGATCGGGGACATTCAGATCAGACGGTCTCTGACTTTGAGGTCGTCCGCGTAAGACACAGTAGTTGCCAGACACCGCCACTGACTCCATCATTCTGTCCAGGTCAGAAAAGTGCGGGGAATTAAAAGCCGCCGCAACCGAATCCCCATGTATTCCTGGAAGACTGCGACCACAACAGCCGTATCGAAGCCCGGTTTGGATAAACGAACAGTTCAGTGGGACTTAGGACACTAGGCTAGCCCGGACCGTATGTCAAAATGGTTTAGCTCCGGCTGCAAGGAGAAACTGGGGAGCCTCTTTGGGGGACTCCGCAATTCCTTAATGTGCTCCAACCCTTTTTAATTCCTCGTCCTCGTCCTTTTCTTGTATTCTTTATGAAGGGGCCTTACCTGGGTAAGATACCCGCTTATTGCCCAACAAACAGTAAGCACAATTTCCAAAACACTCCTGTAATCATCAAATAACCTGCTAGGTAAAGGATATTTTCACGATGTCAGTTCCCGTCGAAATCGCCGAAATAATCTTCCGGAAGAAATCACAATACGGCCGATACATTGACACCAAGCAATGGGACAAATTCGACCAAGTTGCATTGCCTGATGCCGAATTCATCTTCTTCGATACCGACGGGTCTATCCTAAAGGCCGGGAATACCTCACTTGCATTTCCATCTTCTACAGCTTTTACAGGATTTTTCAGCAAATTCTTCGCAAATGCACAAACGCTCCATATGTTCGGACCTGGAGAGTTGCAACTGAAAGCTATTGATGAGGTGGGAGCCATATGGGGGATGGAAGATCAAATTATCCTGAAACACGCTGTGGGATCGGTGGAGATCAGAGGCGGAGGGTATTATCACGAGACTTGGAAGATGAAAAACGGGGACTGGTTCTTGAACTCTTTGCGATTGGAGAGAACGTACCAAAAAACAAGCCTTCTGGCAAAGATTCTCATATTCTTGGAAAGGTATCTTAGCCTCTCAGTCATTTGAGATTGTCCCTATCATCAGTTCAGAACAGTACTATAGGGCCAAGCATGCAATCCGAGGCCCAATTGCACTATTCTGCGTTAAGGGGTGGAAGAGTTGGGGAAGAAATCAGGCGCGTTTGTTAAGTCGGATGTATAATTGATTACCTTTTCTCGATTGCATATCCTATCAAGTACCAATATGAATGCGGTGGGTGTGAAGTGTATGAGGGCGGCTTTGATGTTTGCTTGGTTCGCAATTGCATACACTAGTCATGATGGATAGATAGCCTGGCTTTATTTGGAAGTGAAAATGTATTGTCAGATCTATTGAGGTTCAACTTGCCTTCATATTTTTCGCTCACTTACACGTCCAACGTTCGAGCCCATCCGGCTTCAACAGACCTGCAAACCAAACGTTCGATATCAGATATCCAGTCAAGTACCAATTCCTGTATATCACCAAGTATGATGTCTATGAACCATTGTTATAAGTGAGTGATGCCAAGGATGGCCCCCGCGCCTCTCTCTTCGTCTTATTAACAGGGACCGTGCGAGGGTGCGGCGGCAACGGGTTCAGCTGGCGCTGACAGTCAACCAGCACTGTATTTTACTTTGATTGAGTCGGGTTTTCGTTATATCCACAACTCTATTTGTTAGGGACTGTTGAACGTTATACACTCCTCTAACCTAAACAAAGACCATGGACCCGGCAACCGCAACGACGGACTCTTGCCAGCCGCTGAGGATTCTCTCGCTTGGTAAGACTGTCTGGTTCAAGCAGCCCACCCTAAGTCACTAATCGTTCGAAGACGGGGGTGGAATCCGTGGCATCTCAAGTCTACTCATACTGGAGAGGATCATGGAGATGATCCGCGATGCCGAGCGCCTTGACCACGTTCCGCGACCGCGCGACCATTTTGACTTGATCGGTGGCACAAGCACTGGAGGGTATGGCTGAGTGCTCGATGCGTCTGAGACATCATCGCTAATTGACCCCAAGGATCATCGCCATCATGCTTGGAAGGCTAGGCATGACAGTCGATGAATGTATACGAGCGTATAGACAAGTTGCGGAGCAAGCATTCACCCCGAAACGGACATCAATATTACCTGCATCGCCCACAGGTGCGTTCTCAGCAAAAGCCCTCGAAAATGCCATGAAACAGGTAGTCAGAGAGTACTGTACACACATCGAATGCGTAACCCGCCGGCGCCAAGGGCAGACAACTGTCAATTCGTGTTCACATTGCGATATGGCTTTCCGGGACAACACATGCACGAAAACGTAAGTTTGCAATACGGAATGCCTGCCTAGGTGGCCTTTATTAATATGCTACAGTGTGGTCTTGGCGATCACGAAAGATAATGTCGATGCACCACCAACGCTCTTCAAGACATATGATCGATCCGCTGCCTTCGATAGTTCTACCCTTTGGCAGGTCGCACGAGCGACGTCAGCAGCAACGACCTTTTTCAAGTCCATCAAAGTTGGCCGAGATGAGATCGAGTTCATTGATGCCGGTTTTGGATACAATAATCCATGCAGTGTTCTGATCCAGGAGGCCCAGCGAGAGTTTCCTGATCGCGGAAAAATGCGGATTCTAAGCATCGGAACTGGCCTAGGTGATGTCGTTACTATCAAAGACAAACGACTGTCTATCATTACTGCGCTAAAAAGAATGGCCACATCATCTAAGAAGGTAGCAGCAGACGTCGATTATCGCTATGGCGGGAATGGTGAATACTTCCGGTTCAACGTTGATCAAGGCCTTCAAGATATCACGTTGTCCGATTGGGAGAAAGCTAGCAAGATATCCGCGCACACCCGGAACTACCTAGCGGAGAATGAGCGGGTGATCAAGAAATTGATCGATGAAATCACCCGTCCTCCTCGAGTCTCTAGGGCGGATGGAGATAGGCCTATTAGCCATGGCAGAACTCGTCTTAGTTAGTCTGGAAAGGAGCCCGATTTATTGAATCGGATCTACTAACACTCGAGTGACCCTCACAGGCGGGCCTTTTTTCTCTATCCCACTCCGTCAAAACCGTCACTTTGTAGGACGTGGAAAGGAATTAGATGGGCTCAAGCAGAAAGTGCTGATCCAGAAAAATAATGGGAGACTCGCAGTCTTCGGGCTAGGAGGTGTCGGCAAGACCCAAATCGCACTGCAAGTTGCGTACTGGGCGAGACAAAACATGCCCTCTTATTCTATCTTTTGGATATCAGCACTGAGCAAGGCGAGTTTTGAGCAGGCTTGCACGCAGATTGCGACAAAGCTAGGAATTAGCAAAATTTCAGATAATGAAGATGCCATGGAGTCAGTACAACGGCATCTGAGTTTGGAATCAACCGGACCCTGGCTTCTGATTGTGGACAATGCGGACGATATGGCCTTGCTATTCGGAAGCTCAGATTCGCCAGGAGGAATGAGCCAATATCTTCCAGAGAGCGAGCTCGGTGTGACACTACTAACTACTCGCTCTCGAGAGATAGCCGTGTCATTTGCTGGAAATGACGTTACGAAACTCCGGGAAATGCATTTACCAGAGGCGACAAGTTTATTGGAAAAATCACTGATCCAAAGAGACTCGCGTCAAGACGGAGGAGAGACAGAGCAGCTGCTCGAAGAGCTCAACTATTTGCCTCTAGCGATCACGCAAGCGGCTGCCTACATGAACACGGCAGATATATCAATTTCAAAATACCTCTCATTGCTACGCGGCACAAAGAGCGATGTGATCAATCTCTTAGGCAGACAATTTCACGATAGCACTCGCTACAGGGGATCGCAGAACGCCGTGGCTACCACCTGGCTGATCTCCTTTCAGCAGATTCACAGAACGGATGAAGCTGCAGCCAACTTATTGTCATTTATCTCGTGCATCGAGCCGAAGGCGATCTCACAGTCGCTCCTACCTGACTTTGGATCAGAAGAACAAATAGTCCACGCTATTGGCACATTGTGTGGCTATGCCTTTCTAGCCGAAAGAGATGATGCTTTATATGATATGCATAGCCTGGTCCACTTGGCGACGCAAGTATGGGTTCAAGAGCAAGGATTTACAAAGCAGACAATGGAAAGAGCAGTCCGTCATTTAGCGGGCGCCTTCCCATCGGATGATTATACCAACCGCAAGTTGTGGCGGATTTTCCTACCTCATAGCCTGCGGGCTCTCCAGGAAAGCGAAGGGCATGACACAGAGGAGAGGTCGGAGCTAAATTTCAAGGTTGCGCGGTGCCTGGAAGCAGATGGCAGGATCAGAGAGGCTGTACGTTTTTATGAAGAAATATGTCGGTGGAACGAATGCCAGTACACGGAGGACCACCCCTCTCGACTGGCATCATATCATGCGCTCGCCAGCGTATACCAAGACAACGGCCAGATCGGCGAGGCAGTCAAGCTGCTTGAGTATGTGGTTGCAGTAAATGTGACAACCCTAGCCAAGGAGCACCATGACCGACTAGCATCACAGCATGCGCTTGCCAGCGTATACCAAGCTAACGGCCAGATCGGCGAGGCAGTTAAGCTGCTTGAGTACGTGGTTGCAGTATATAAGACAACCCTGGCTGAAGAGCACCCTGACCGACTTGCATCACAGCATGTGCTCGCTAGCGTATACCAAGCTAACGGCCAGATTGGCGAGGCAGTTAAGCTGCTTGAGCATGTGGTTGTAGTACAAGAGACAACCCTGGCTGAGGAGCACCCCTCTCGACTAGCATCACAGCATGCACTCGCCAGCGTATACCAAGACAACGGCCAGATCGGCGAGGCAGTCAAGCTGCTTAAGTATGTGGTTGCAGTATATAAGACAACCCTGGCTGAAGAGCACCCCTCTCGACTAGCATCACAGCATACGCTCGCCCGTGCATACCAAGCTGACGGCCAGATCGGCGAGGCAGTCAAGCTGCTTAAGCATGTGGTTGCAGTATATGAGACAACCCTAGCCGAAGAGCACCCCTCTCGACTAGTATCACAGCATGAGCTCGCCTGTGTATATCAAGCTAACGGCCAGATCGGCGAGGCAGTCAAGCTGCTTAAGCATGTGGTTGCAGTACATAAGACAACCCTAGCTGAAGAGCACCCCTCTCGACTGGCATCACAGCATGCGCTCGCCAGCGTATACCAAGACAACGGCCAGATCGGCGAGGCAGTCAAGCTGCTTAAGCATGTGGTTGTAGTAAGAGGGACAACCCTAGCTAAGGAGCACCCCTCTCGACTAGCATCCCAGCATGCGCTTGCTATTGCATATCAAGCTAACGGCCAGATCGGCGAGGCAGTTAAGCTGCTTGAGCATGTGGTTGCAGTACAAGAGACAACCCTAGCTAAGGAGCACCCTGACCGACTGGCATCACAGCATGCCCTCGCTAGTGCATATCAAGCTGACGGCCGGATCGGCGAGGCAATCAAGCTGCTTAAGCATGTGGTAGCGGTAGAAGAGAGAGCCCTAGCTGAAGAACACCCCTCTCGACTAGCATCGCAGCATGAGCTCGCCCGTGTATACCAAGCTGACGGCCAGATCGGCGAGGCAGTCAAGCTGCTTGAGCATGTGGTTGCGGTAGAAGAGACAACCCTAGCTGAAGATCACCCCTCTCGACTAGTATCACAGCATGCGTTGGCAATAGTAAAACAGCTGTATGAGAAGGAGCGACGGGATTGATGATCCACAACACGTACCTACCTAAACATGCAAATAATCACATTTAACTTATCTCTGCTTATGGCTGGAACGGACGTCCTTAATCATTCACTCTTAACAAACACGGATGGATTGTTACCAATAGCCCAGCATATGAACACATTCCTAGCAAGTAATCATATCATTCAATTGGATTTCTATCTTTAGCAAGGTCAATTATAGAAACCAATCTTTTGTCATACATCGATGGCACCATCTATTACGATACAAGGAAGCAAATCGGTCCTGGTCTCTCCGTACTGTATCTGACTTCATACCGTAACGTCAGTCTTAGCCTTAGTTTTTGAGAATCAGTCCATGAGTAATTCGGGTTGGGGCAATTTCGCGAAGAACTGTACATTTAGAAAAGCATTTAACCTTTAAGGGAAAGATTTGCGAGATCGAGTTCTCAAGTTCTGTTGCTTTGTCTTCATTATACTGTATGCTGAACGCAGTTTTTTTTTCAAACTTGATAGTGTTAGACTAGTAAGCAGGAAATAGGTCTTCCGTCCACCCCTCATATGTTTCAAATATCGCGCACGTTATATTATGGTACGAGAACAGCGGTTCTGGACTTCGTGGTTGGGGATGGAGGAGGGAAAGAGAAGAGACAAGAAAGATAGGGTAAGTGTGTATTTATAGGGGACTTCCCCCGGGGCCATCGAATGGGAAGAATGTATACCATGCCTCAATTGAGCCTTAAGTTACAACTCTTCTCTTTACATAGACAGCATCGAGATCTCGTCTACTTGGTCTAACGGACTACCCCGAAAGCAATCATAAAATATAAATCATATCCCATGTTATTCGTATCGTCGTTTCGCTAGTAAAAAGAAAACCCAGGCTGCCTCACTGAGGTGCAGCCAAAGAAAAGGTATCATCGCTCAAAGATCAAGGATCACCAGACACAATCTGTTGGAATATTCGACCTAACGAGGAGCAACACTTGGGAAAAACCGCGGACCAGCATACCCATGCGTGATGATGCTTTCAATATCGATATTCCCATCAGGGCGTGGGCTCCATAGCTTGATCAGAATGAAACGACCGGATCTGGTAACGTTAGCATACATCAATAAACCTCTAGTAGATAATACATACGGAGGTGGATCGAATTTGATAGTGACCATGCTCTTCTGTCGCTCAATGAAGAATCTCGCATGTGGTTTCAAGACCTCTGGGGGATTGGGTTCGGGTGGTGGATTGGGATTCACAAGAGTCGGATTTCGGCGCCTGCTCTGCTCAGCAAGGCGGTTTAGAATGTTCTGTCGTCGATTCATTTGAATTCGTCCACGGCGGAGTATCCTTGAATCATCATCCTCATCATCAGTGGGTGTCTCATCGGTTTCCGTCAAAAGATCTTCCATCTGGTCACCCTGATCACTCTGATCATCCTGGGCTCTTTCAAGCTCTGTGAGGTAGGCCCTTTCGAGGTCGGTGAGGGAGGTGGTGTCGTCGTTTCCAGAATTACTGTTTTCCTCGCTGTTTTCATCGTATTCCGTGGTAATGCGGAACTGTCTTTGTGGGTCCTCGGTTGTATCAGACGCAGAACTGTCTGAATTCGGTCCCATGAGAACTGTGCGTTCGAGGTTTTGTAGTGGTGACCGGTATGAATTTAGGTACTCCTGGGACGGCTGCAGGCCATGCCGGCGGTGTCGGCGGCGCCACCGAGAACTGGAATATTGAATTTGGTAGCGTGCGGTGCGATCGAGTAGCTCGTCAGATGACATGGAGACAAATACCATGCCTTCTTGGATTCTACTTCTGTTAGTCAAGGCTCAACAGAGGGAACAGAGGTACATACGGGGCATCGAAGCCGCATTGGGGTGCTTTGATCACGATCTTTTTTAGACAGAAAGGTGCCTCGCCCCGGTGACGTAGTATCAGATTGCAACGATCTTCCTTGGTAGAGTAGACGCTCTGGTTGTTTTCCAGGACGTTCTCCGGGCGCGAACACCCCTCATCCTGATCATAGATTCCTCCGTCACAGCTAGCAATCTCCATTTGCAGCATTCCGGGGTAGACTTGTCCATATCGCCCGTAGTTAAACCCTTGAAACTCTTCGCGGTTATCATCAGCGTCCAGCTTCCGACGCTTCAGGCGTCCCTGGCCATCACGGCCCGACAAGCCTGGTGGCATGAGGGATGGTGATCTGGATGAGGACCCGTCTGGGCTTGGGGGAAAATGTGTTGGCCGGGGGAGTCGACGTCGAAGAGACTGAGAGTCCGGAGAGAGGGGGCTCTGGGATTGTTCCAAGTGAATCTGGTCTGCCCAAATGCTCCGAATTAGGTCTGATGGGCTAGCTATCTCGGACTGGAGTTGTTGGATCTGGCGATCCACGGCGGCCCGGGCTTGTTCAAAGTTGGTTCGGTCTCGAGCTCGGTCAAGGGTGTGCTCTAGAATCTCTTGATTCAGTGTTAATAAGGCACGGGTAGCACTGAAGGTGTTGTAAGCACCGGAGCGGTTCCGTTCGTTGACTAGGTTGCGGAGATGCTGGAGACGGAGCACGTCGGGGCCTCGTTCGGTGGGCGCAGTCGGGCGGGAAAAACGGCGGGACGAAGAAGACGCAGGAGGGTAGTCGTAGTTTCCTGACTAGAAAGAGGTGTGAGACATCAGTTGGTGGAGGAGCCATGAAACATACCATCGTTCGGATTACCGCTAATGAACCTATGTCGAGAGGATACCGTATCTTTGGGCATCAACCCGAGTAGGAACAGTGAAGAATCCCAGGGCGAAATACTTAGAAAGTCACAACGCCGAACTTCCAAAGAGACCTGGTAGTTGATAACACACGTGATGGGATTATATCATCGTTCCGCATTCCCGTCCACGGGGTTCCTCCCCACTTTCTCTTCACTTCATGAAGGTGACATGGCTTCAATTCAATGAATCTTTGTTTCGTATTGTTCATACATTACCAAGGCAAAATGCAATTGCATTATATGTCTACACAAGACTCAAATCTCTAAAGATGGACTTGAGTGCGCATTAGGACCCCTCAAACACATCGGCTTCAATAATAGTATCTGATAATTGATACAGGGCAGGGCCTTGTACGTTGTTAGGAATATCACCAACCGAGGCTATACTTTGACACAGCTGCGGACTTACTGCAAATGTATGGTACTCTAGCATCTTGTCAATACATTCCTCCCGTTGCACTCTAGAGCATCAGTGGACAGCAAACCAATGAACCGCAAGATTCCACCTTTTCAGTCAAACTTTGAAAAAGCTATATTGCAAGAGACATGCTTGCCTACTTGCTAAGTACCAGAACACTATCTTCCTTGAGAACCTATATCCACTGTCTATCCACTATCCGCCAAGCACTCAGCTATAATCCCTTCTCTGTGTAATTGTTGATCGTTAACACATGCCCTAGTATAGAATAGATCTCTGGGACTCTCAAGGCTGCATAAAATACACAGCAAACAGATATCTCAGAGGTTGAAGTAGAGTAAATACTAACACTTGTATACTTCGTGTCCCCACGCCCCCACATTTAGCTCCCGGGTCACATGACAACCTCCCTTCCCTTCTAGTTCTCTTCTCTTCACACCTCCACACTTACAGCTCTAATTTCGTTGCATTGCGCATTGTCTTTTGCATTTCGTTATTTCTCGTCACTTTGATAACTCCGACCACCTCGAGCGGAAGTGCGGGGCAAGCTTCAAGCCAAGCCAGCCGCAAGTTTTAGCTCTTATCACGGCCGAATTCGCCGACCATGGCGGAGCAGGACAACATGCAGTCGATCAGCGCTGGTAAGCATGCCACTGGGCCTCACTGATCTTTGCTTACACTACTGCCAGATGAAATTGCGCTGTATGACCGACAGATCCGACTCTGGGGAGTCCACGCCCAAGAAAAGTGAGCAACTCGTGTCGAAACAAGCCGGACAAACCTAACATGACCAGGATCCGATCGGCAAACATCCTTCTTATCTCTGTGAAAGCCCTGGCAAATGAAGTGGCCAAGAACCTCGTCCTGGCGGGCATCGGCTCGCTCACGATCCTCGACCACCAGGATGTCACGGAAGAGGATCTGGGTGCGCAGTTCTTCATTACAGAGGCGCAAAGCGAGGAAGATGTGATTGGCAAGAACGTGAGTGACTCATGCCCAACGACAGTCACTACCACATACTGACAAGCCTGATACCAGCGCGCGCAAGTCGCAGGACCTCAGATCCACAAGATGAACCCGCGCGTGAAGCTGAACATCGACACCGAAGACGTCAAGACGAAACAACCCAACTTCTTCGCGCAATTCGATCTCACAATCGCCACCGAACAAGACTTCCTCACAAACACCACAATCAACGCTGCCTGCCGCTTGGCCAACAGACCATTCTACGCAGCGGGGCTCCACGGATTCTACGGCTACGCCTTCGCAGACCTCATTAGCCATGACTTTGTGATCGAGCGCGCCAAGTCCAACATGAACACCATGACACAGGAAACAGCAACCCGCAGCATAATCTCCACAAGCACCAAAAAAGAGAACGACAAGGCCATCGAGCTCGTCACAAAACGGGAAATCTACTCCCCTCTCATCCTCGCAAACACATCTCCTCTCCCAGAAGAATACACCCGTGTTCCCCGTCGCCGCAAGCAAGTAACTCCTCTACTCAGCTGTCTCCGCGCCCTCTGGGAATTCGAGAAACTCCTCGGCCGCCGCCCAACATTCACACACGAAGACCTGGAACTCTTCACCCGATTGTCGCGCGACAGACATCAAGAATTGAAACTAGAGCCTGTAACTCTAGAAGCTGAGTTCCTGCGAACATTCCTACAGAACCTGGGAAGCGAGTTGAGCCCCGTTGCAGCGTTCCTAGGTGGAGCCCTAGCACAGGATGTGATCAATGTTCTTTCGGCGAGGGAGCAGCCACTACAGAATATTCTGCTGTTTGATGGCGAGAAGTCCGTTGGCCCTATCTATCCTCTGCACCCGTTCTTCCCTGACCTGAGCGCTGGAGCTGAGATGGCTGCTGCTGCACCTGTTCGGAATCCGGTGACTGTTCCTGTTGACGGGGTAACCGGTCAGAATGGGCAGTAGATGGAAAGTGAGATGGATATGGAGATAGAATGCGCTTTGTTTACTGCATGGTTACGAATTTCTTTAGTTTCGCGGTTTCTGCACCCGGACTTGATCTGGGTCTTTTTCATGTACGATAGACGATAACTTGACTTTCGGTCAATAAGTTATGCCAACAATGTTGAGAAATATGTCCAATATTGCCATGATACAGAGTACATGACTATTTATTAGCTACCCAAACAGCCAAAAGGCCATCAAGCCCTATAACAAACGCCATCCAACAGTCCAAAATGCAGACAAATCCTATCTTTTACTAGGAAGTATATAAATTCAATGATGGGACTCGTCCTTCCCAAGTTCCTCATCACTGTTCTTCCTCGGTCCCACAGAAGGACCCTCCTCATCATCAGAAATCAAACCATGAAGCTCGAAAGCCTCCGCATCTTGGATCTGCTGTGAGGTAGAGCGTGCATGGCCGTTTGCGTTTCCGTTTAGAGAGGAGTACTTGGGACCGTTCTGGTCTGTGGATTCGGAGTTTGGCCAGGCGTGCACGGCGTAGATGTGCAGGAGGATGTTGACGACTGCGAGGTTGGGGGTTAGTGGGTGTCCACAGAGGCAGTTCGGTCGGATCTGGGATAAACTTACAGAGGAAGCAGATGAAAGCGATGCTGTATAGAATCAGGACGTAGGCGACGTGGGTTACTCCTGCATTGTGGAGGAGGAGCATTTGTTCCTCTGTGGCGCCCAGGAAGAGGAATCCGGAGGCGTAGAGCAGCTGTGAGAGTCAGTTATTGTTCCAAGATATCAGATTGACAGGACATACGAAGGGGGTCAAGTATTGGAAGCTGTTCGGCTCGGAGAGCGCAGGCTTATCCCTCAGCACAAATGAGATCTCAATGATACGGGTGAGACCCGCAGCCATGAGAGTATATCCAAAGATGGAGTGAATCATAGTACTGATCATCAGCTCCTGGGGATGAGCAGACATAGCATATCCAGTTATCAAGATAACAAGAGCAGGAATGAGGTTGCGCTTGGGACGGCCATTGCGGCTGCGGCTCAACCACATACCCAGCAGACCAGCACACCACCAGACAATACCCATAGTAGTATGCTGGAGGTCGTTATGAACCCAAGCAGTACCCCAGCGATGCTCAGTGAAAGTATTGACACAGCCCCAAGCAGCGATAATCAACGAATCGAAGAACTCCTGACTGCGACCCGTCTTGCGCAACCAGAACTGGCCAACGAGAAGGAGGATAGTCAAGCAAACACCATACCCGATGAATGCACTACCCATAATGAAATGAGCCAGACACTGGCCGAGGTGATCACCACGACAGAAGCCCAGCGAGGCAATACCACCAAAGAGCATCTGCGCCCAGCTGACAACGGGCATGATCTTGCCAATGATACCGTGTGCCAACACGAAGATCCAACGGATGCGACCCTGTCCTGCTTTCTCGAGGTGCAGCTTAAGGTAAGCGCCCAGGACGACTTGCACAATCAGCATGAGCATCAGCCAGTTTGCGAATGAGGCGTGGAGGTTTTTGTCGAATTGGCGGCCCTTGTGTGCGTGGCCGAGGAAGTAAGCCAAAACAGCGACGACAGTGCCGACGACCTGAACGGGAACGTGCCAGCGAGAGCGAACGATCTAGAGAGTGTGTGTTAGGACATGGTCTGATGTGAGGTAACGAAGGGGAACAAAGCATAAAAAACATCAACAGAATAACAGAATAGAATCAAGTACATACCCCGAGAACCATACCCAGCGGAAAGACAATTCCAAAAGCGAACCCCATCAGAATCATATGCGTCCATAGGATCCCATCCTGCACAAGTTAGTTGATGTCCCTCAAGTACGCGTAATGGGAACATACGATAGGATCCTTCGAGACAGACTCGCCCTGCGGAACAGCCTCATGGCCACCGTGGGCGACGGCAGCGCCGAATAGTAAGAACAGAGTCCACATGGACCGACTGAATGTATTCATGATGTGCTGGGGGGAGGTGTGAAAGGGAGAAAAGAACAGATGCGGGTATCAGGACCCAATCCGGAGCATCCGATTATGCGGGATCGGCGTGCCGCGTTGACAGGGGTTTTGTATGTGGATAGGATACTTCACGATGTAAACACTCGGAATAGGTGAAGTATAGTTGAAGTATAAGTTACTCTGTAGTTGAGGTTGAATGAACAGAAGTCCAACTTTGGAGCCTGGGATTATTCAGCCGGGGTTATGATTGGCCCTGCTCGTGGAAGTAGATGTACAACTCTCTCCCTCAACATACATGTAACAACATCATGGATGCATCCGAAGCCAAAGAAAAGAAACTTGTGTGTATCAATTCTCTATCCAAGAATACACCCAACTAAAAAACCACAGACCTCCCTTCGCGAATCCATCGCCAACCTAGAAACCCAGCAGGCGCAACTGGAATCAGAACTAGCCTCGACGACCTCCCAACTCAAGTATGTGCTATTCCCATCCAGTGGGTATGAATCAAGCTATGAGATATCTGCTATGAGCTATGAGATCTGAGCTATTCGGAGCTATGATATCATGAAGATCTATTACTGGGAACTATTCTAACTCTCCTCGCCTCTCCAGAAATGACCCCACAGCAACAGTCAAACGCCACATCCGCCTCTTACATGAATATAATGAAATCAAAGATGTCGGACAGGGATTGATGGGACTTATTGCTGAGGGCAGGGGTGTGCGACAGATTGAAGTTGAGAGGGAGTTTGGCGTGGGGGACAAGGATTGATATTGAATTGTGTTATTTTATCATTTTGTTTCATGTTGTTTAGTTAAGGGCAAGGAACCTGGACTGCATGGAATCTGTTGAATGGAGAATTCATTTGTATCATTCATCTATTCCTACATCAAATGGGAAATCGCGTTTTTTATCTTCCTCCTTTTGTCAAGAGGGATACTCCGGCTCTTACCGCCAATGCCGGTTGATCTATCACGATAGGAGAGAGCATATAAAAAGAAAATGAGAGGGGAAGATGTTGGGATGAGATAAAGGTGGAGAGGAGAAGGTAGAAGACACATCGAATGGAGATTGATACACAAGATAGAGAAGGGAGAAGAGAGGCTGAAAGGGTAATAAAGTAGGTAAGATGGAGAAAAGGTTTGAAGAGACAAGAAGGTAGGGGTATGTGTGCAACAAATCAAAATCAATGAGTCTTGCCCAGACTCTGGAGGTTAACCAACTCAAAGTAACGACCCTTATTGCGTAGCAGCTCAGAGTGGGTACCACTCTCAACGATCTTACCCTGATCAAAGACATAGATGATATCAGCCTTTTGGATCGTGCTGAGACGGTGAGCCACAGCGATGGTAGTACGACCACGAGCAGCAGCATCCAGAGCAGCCTGGACGACCTTCTCGGACTCAGAGTCCAGAGCGGAAGTGGCTTCGTCTAGGAGGAGGATCTTGGGGTTGCGAAGGAGGGCGCGGGCGATGGCTACACGCTGCTTTTGGCCGCCAGATAACATGCCACCTTTGGAGCCGACGACTGTTTCGAAGCCCTCACTGGATTTGGTTAGTATTGACTGACAGTGGGATAGGATGGAGGGACTTACGGGAGAGACATGATAAAGTCGTAGATGTTGGCATCCTTGCAGGCTTTGATGAGCTCCTCTTCGGAGGGGTCCTCGTTGGGACGGCCGAGGAGGATGTTCTCCTTGATGGTACCTTGGTAGAGAGTGGGTTCCTGACTGACCAGAGCGAGGTGGCTGCGGTAGGAGTTGACATTGAGGTCGGCGATGTTCTTATCGTCGACGTAGACACCACCGGATAGGACATCGTAGAAACGCTCGAGGAGGGCGATCGTGGTAGACTTGCCGCATCCGCTGGGTCCGACCAAGGCGATGTACTGACCGGGCTTGACGCTGAGGTTGAGACCACGGAGCACAGGCTGCTCAGGACGGGTAGGGTAGCGGAAGTGGACATCCTTAAACTCGATGGTTCCCTCACAGTGCTCCAGGTTCTCGCCTTCCTCAGACCAAGTGTCAATAGTCGGGCGACGCTCGAACAACTTCAGGAACTCGGCAGCGGCGTTCTTGGCCTTGCCCATGTCCGGACTGAAGGAGAACACTGTTCCGGCGGATTGCGCACCGAACAGAATCTCACTGAAACAGACAAAGAACGTGAATATACCGTACTCGTGCTTGCCGAGTAGGGTTCCTCCGTACCAGAAGCCAAGGGCAACACAGAAGAAGACCAGGGCCTGGGACGCGGCGTACAAGGACGAGGATTTAATGACGGAGATCAAGCTAGCACGGCCCTGCAAATCGAGCTGACCATGGTACACCGACCACACATCATTTTCGCGAGTGAGGGAAGCAACAGTGCGGATAGCGGAAGTGGCCTCGCAAGCATAGCTGGCAGATCCTTCATACGCAGCCTTAGATCGAGACTGGAAGGCCGCGAGCATGTAGAACCGGTAGAAACCACAGCCCAGGAGAACCGGAACAACCGAGATACAAACAAGAGCAAGCTTCCAACCAAAGGACAGCGAGATCACAATGGCAGCAATAAGAGTGGTAGATGTCATCAGAATTGTTCCGAGGGTCTGACCACTGATGCCAGATAAGTGCTTCGTCTCGGTGGACAGGAAGGAAGTCAAAGCACCGGTGCTGTTCTCCTCGCGATCGAAAAAGTTGATATCCTGACGGAGCATAGTGCGGAAAGCCTGGCTACGGGCCTTGCGAATCAATCGCTCAGAGCTGAAAGCAAAGGCAATACCGTGGGCTGAGAAGGTGATGAACTGAACAATACCAACAACTAAGAACATCAGGGACCAGAAGTTGGCCTCCGAGCGCAACTTGGCATACTGAGACGGTGGGTAAGACAACGCACTAATGGCCTTGGCGTACAAGAAAGCCTGAGTAGGTTGACCACCACCGGCAAGGATGGAGAAGCATAGACCGATAACCATATACTTCCACTCTTCCTTGTTGAAGGAGGCGATAAATTTGATCAGAGTCCAGAGCGAGTACTTGTGGTTGCCTCTTTCAGTAGGGCGCTTAGAAAGGATGACGCTGGATACAGATTTGCGAGAATCGAGGCGACGCATGTCCGCCTCAAAGGCCTCAGCTTCTTCCTTGAGTATCGCCGAAGAACCGCTAGCAACAGACTTGACCCGAGCGATGTGCGCCTTGTTCATATTTTCAGCGCTGTCCTCGTCCTCGGAATCGTCCAAAGCATCGGCATCCTTCTCCTCGTTAATGCGCTGAGCTTCGACGAGCCTGTAGTAAGGACCATCACGTTCGGTCAGATCATCGTGAGTACCTTGCTCGACGATAGATCCGTTGACAAAGACAACAATGTTGTGGGCGGTCTTGATAGTAGACAGACGATGGGCGATCACGATGGTAGTACGACCTTCGGCAGCACGGTCAAGCGCTGCCTGGACGACACCTTCAGACTTGGTATCGAGAGCGGAAGTGGCTTCATCGAGGAGGAGGATTTTAGGGTCGGAGACGATAGCACGGGCAATGGCGATACGTTGCTTCTGGCCACCAGATAGCAAGAATCCACGCTGACCCACATTGGTCTCATAGCCTTCCGGGAGGATATTGATGAACTCGTGGGCGTTGGCCATCTTGGCAGCATTCTCGATCAGTTCCTTGATTTTCTCCTCAGATTCGTGCTCAAAACGGGTTCCAATGAGACCGTGGCGGATGTTCTGGTAGATAGTGGTACCGAAGAGGACAGGCTCCTGACTAACCAGCGAGACCTGCTGGCGCAACCAGCGCAGGTTGAGAGTCTGGATATCGTGTCCATCCAAGAAGATCTTGCCACCGACGGGCAGGTAGAAGCGCTCAACGAGACCAACGACGGTACTCTTGCCAGAGCCGGAGGGACCAACCAAGGCAGTGGTCTTTCCGGCAGGCATAGTGAGTGAGACATTCTCCATGATAGTAACTTCAGGGCGCGAAGGATAGATATGCTTCACATCACGGAACTCGATGTGACCCTCCACGTGGTCAAGGATGATGCCTTCATCCGAAGTAGGGTCCAGCGGGGACTGGCGGTCGATAGTCGCAAAGATTTTAGCAGCAGCGGCCACAGCATTGGTAAAAGCCTGGCCGTTCGGGCTTACGTTGCCCAAGCTGAAAGAACCGATAAGAATAGCCATCAGAATAGTCAAAACCTGGCCGGCATTGAGCTTGTCGTCAACTAGGAATCGAGAGCCCATCCAGAATCCAAGACCGTAGTTCAAGAACATGATTCCAAACATACCGCCGACCATCACTCCGAGAGCCATCTGCAGACGCATACCCCAGCGCTCCGCTTGCGCTAAGTGCACCTCGTACTGCTTGGCCAGCTTGTCTTGGGTACCGAATGCAGTTGCATTGCGAATTGAACTGATGACCTCTTCCGCCACCGTGCCACCGGCGCCATAGCTCTCTAGGGAGAGCTTGCTGAACTTGACGATGAAGGTGGATCCACCCCCCATGATCAGCACGAGGGCGACGATCGTCGAGGTACAAATACCAGCCAGCGGGGCATACTTGACATAAGCGACGATAAAGGCAGTAACGAAAGTGGCAATGGCAGTGAGGGTCAATCCGACCTTTTCGGAGACACCATCTTGGATGAGGTTGGTGTCGGCGGTGATGCGGGTGGTGACCTCACCAGCACCCAACTTGTCAAAATAGGCGATGTTCTGGCGCAGGATAGCTTCAAGATAGTTCTCACGAATCTTCTGGGTGACATGTTCACCAGTGTAGATGAATCCGATAGTGCTGATGTAGACAGTGACAAACTCGCCAATGCCGAGGTAGACAAAGTACAAGACGTTGTGAGTGAGCGAGTGATAGAACTGCTCATAGGGAATTGTGCCGTAAGTGATCCTTGTGAAATCGTTTGTCAAGGATCCGAATAGAATCTGGGGTTGTTAGCTATCGTCTCCATCAAACGACGAGTATACTCACAGTGAATAGAGGCAGGGCAGCGCCGGCGGCCATAGCACAAAGGGCGCTAACCACGATAATGACAATATCCATGTGGGATGCATATCGATAGAGGCCGAAAAAGGATATCTTGACTGGAGGCGCATCCAACTGTCGCTTCAAGATGTCTTTCTCGTGTGCTGGTAGGTGGGCATAGAGCGCATCGTCATCGTTCAATACCGAAGTCGTCGTCTCCTTTTCTTTTGCCAGAGTTGAAGCTGAACTCGAAACAGGCTTCTTGTTAAGTTGAGGCTCCTCCGCCACCTTCTCCACGGCGGTTACGCCCTCTTCGGGCTGTTGCATGGTGAATGTATGCCGAGTAGTCTTAGTCCATAAAAAAGAGCTGTAGATGGGACTGCGGAGTCAACCGCGATAACTCGATAAGGAAGGGGAATTAAAGATTAAAGTAGTAAAGATTAACAGGCATAACAAGTGATATAAGGAGATATAAGGAGTAGTTAAATGTTAAAAGGGACCTCAAATGTTTTAGTATCTTAAATTTTGCCGTCGGTGGGCCGGAGACTGCTGACTCCGGCTTCTTTATGCAACTCCTTTTGTTCCCCGACTATTGGGATTGGACATTGTATTACCCTCACTGTGTCAGATTGCAGCCTGATTATTGAGAACGGGAATCTGAACATTTCTAACTCCACGGTCACATTCCATTCCCCCCTTTAAAACTCTGAACTCCGAACTCCTGGACTCCTATGAAAGTATGAAACTACAAGCCTTGAAACACCTGTGGATACAATACATGTTGTAATCCAGGCTGAAATCATTGGACAACTCTTCGGGAAACGAACCCGAATACGACAGTGATAAGCGTCAACTTCTTTCGACCGAATTTTCGTCCTGGGCCCGAGTTATAAAAACATCGGTTACGTCCGTTCGCCGTAAACCATAGCTTCGAACCGAAATCAGGACTGGAATAGTCCGTGATCCACCAGTAACGTAGCAGCGATTCGGGGTATTTCTGTAGTTGCGAGTGGACCCCTGGAACATTCGCCCGTGCGTATGCCACTTTTTATGCCTGGAGGTCGGCTAATTTTTGGTCCGATTGCCGCTCTACATACCTGTTTGGGGGTAGAGGGAACTAGCAAATTACACGTCGAGTCTGATTTTTGAATTGTATCTGAGATATGACTGTGAATGACGTGTGATGTGACTCACTTGTATGTCCAGTCACCGCATTTTAGCACAGTGGCAAATCCTAGTAAAATCATGATCCTGTACGGAGAGAGACCAATGCGAAAGTGACAGGTGAACATGCGGACACGTGCATTCATGGCCTGAGGCAGAAATGGATTTTCCGGATTCTGACTTCTGCCTTGCTGCCTTGTGGCCCACTTTTTCAGGCTAGAAGTCACATCACCTGACCCAACCGAAGCGAAGCCAAGCCCTGCCGCACACAAACCATCCACACCCGAAGGTCGACAACTTCATCCGTCCATCCAACAAGCTCGCCGTCGCGATCAACACTTCAAGATGCCGGTATGTACCAGCCTGTACCCGTTACCCGTCATATTGAATTACTCGCCATCGTCCCTCTCCTCGTCAAAAAAGAATTTTAAGAACGTGTCCTAATTCTTTTTTTCCCTACAGAGCCACAAGACTTTCCGCACCAAGCAAAAGCTTGCCAAAGCTCAGCGCCAGAACCGTCCCATCCCCCAGTGGATCCGTCTGCGCACCGGCAACACCATCAGGTAAATCGCTCGAATCTATCCATACCAAAATCCAATCCAGTCCGGGCCGTGGGAAGTGAATGGGAAGGAAGGGGAGGGAATACCACGCCATCAACCCATCGACCCATCACGAAGCACTATCCCGGGAGGAAGGACTACAAGCATAAAAAAATAGTCAGAACAATAGCTGACAACCCACAGATACAACGCCAAGCGACGACACTGGCGCAAGTCGACCCTGAAGGTCTAAATTCTCCTCGGAGAATCACCCCACCTTCCGTGCAGCCATCCGATATCCCGTCTCGCGATGTCTTATGTGTGTTTTGATCGGGGGTTGGAAAACGAGTCCTACATTACGGTGTAGAGTCGTCCAACCTCTCATGACGTGACGCCCGCACCGAATATCAATATTTTCGAAAAACCCATGCGCCGACCAGACTTGAGAGCGCTAGTGGATGTGGAACTACTTTCAAGTCTTTTGCAACAATTACATTTTTTTCAAAATACATCTCCGGGGGGTGGCCAGCCAACCTTACTCTTCATTCTTCGTTTTTTCTCCATGGGTTCCGAATGGAGGGATTGATGTGCTTGAGTTCTAATGTGAACTTGAGTGGCCCGGATTTGATTGCATTGCGCGCGCGTGTGTGTCTGGTTGATCGTCTCTTTGCTGGGGGCGGGCTTGTAGGACGGCGCGGGGGAGGATTTCTTTTTTTGATACAAAAATTTCATGGTCGAATTGAATGTCCTTTGCCTTGCATTTTATCTGTAGGTGACTGCGTCACCCATGTCAGTTGCTTCCAAGGTTCCAACTGTTCAAATGTACTACGTAAGAGCCTCGGCATATACATCTGGGCACTTTTGTGACAGTCATAGCGGATATGCCATATGCCCAAGCTCGGTATTTACCCCGCTAGCGGCAATATCTACAGTCGCCACACTCCGATAGTACAGTTCTACTCAGTTGAAGACGTTGCAAACATGTCCCATTGACATCCAGTCTACTTAGATGTCTTTTCAAGAAGTAAAAGCAAAAAAACGCCGGATCAAGCAATAGCCCGCTCTTGATTTGCAACCCAGAATCGTGTTATGGCGAGCGCGCAGGGATATCCATTTCAATATTCAGCAAAAGAAGGTTAGGCCACCCATTTACCGACTGCGAGGGTCAACAGTTAGCAGATATCTCCCATAGATTCAGAGCAAGACTTACTCCTCAGCCCACTCGTTCTCACGGCGGATCTGGTCCTCCTCCTCGGGGGTGAAGTCGTTCTGGATGTTGAAGGTCTTGCGGATCTCCTCGGGGGACTTGCCCTTGATCATGTTGGCGACGGTCTTGCAGCCAACGTCGAGGAGGGCCTTGATGTCGAGGTAGTTGGCAGCCTATGGCAGTCAGTACATGTCCAGACAGTTGAGTCATAATAACAATGATGTAGACGTAAACGTACGAGGATGATTTCAAACAGCATCTCCTGGTCAACCTGCATGAACTTCTGGTCCCACTCATCAATATCGGTGGTCTTGCGACGGTTGTCGTCGTCATCGTTGGCGCTGGCGGGGTCGTTCTTGTGCTGCTCGCACCAGGCGATCACCTTCTTAAGGACAGCCTCGTTAACCTAGCGAAGAAATGTCAGTGTATTGCTCTGGGTGGTATGGGAGGTAGGGCGATGTCTCACGTTGGGGATGGGAATGGCCTCGCCGGAGTCACCAAGATCCTCGAGCATGTTCTTGATGAGAACGGAGCGCTCAGCGACGGCGCGGTCTGTTGAAAGGTCAGTTATCGTCTTGCGATAGGCAGTTTCAGACTTGACTCAGCTGTTCGACTTACCGACGGTGATGTCGACTTCATCGGAGCTGGTGAGAGTGATGGTTCCGGAAGACATTTTGGCGTTGTGATAATGACTCTGAAGTCGTTTTGGTGAGCCGTGTGAAAGGAGATCAAGTGGTGTAGTAACTTACAAAAGAGAAGTATTAAAATCAGAGACAATAAGCTGTGTGAAGAGAAGTAAAACAGTGAAAGTTGAAGTGTCAAGATGAGCGGGACGTTCACGTTATGAAGTTTGGTTACTAAGAGGCTTGGCCCCCACGTCGTCCTGACGCTTTGTACTTGTCTTTCTTTCTCTCTTTAAGCCTAGAATGTCTGAATGGCTGCCTATTTTGACTCGCATTGACTTGCTGCGTTGAATCTCCGAGTGTCTTTATTCTTTTATTCTTTTATTTCACTATTCTTCCACGGTATTCCGTCTATGAATAAATTGCAAACAGTACGCCACTCTGACGGCCGGATTCGTTCTAGTAAAGAACAGATCAACCTTGGGCCAAGAGGAATTTCTAGGCTTCCTAGGCTTATTTAGGAAGTTTTGGAAGTGGAACTATATAACATTTATACGGAGTCATATCTATACAGAGTCATATCGCTATAGCGCTAAATACTGCCTTGACCATGTGTACCCCTAGCTTGACCTATCCAAAACTAGAATATGCTAGCAGTTATACGAGTAGTTATAGTATAGCAGATACGGTGTACAGTAGAGCACATAAGCTGCAAATTAGACAGCCCTGGAGGGCTGATAGGGGTTAACCACTTAAGCATCAACCTGTGATATCATTGCCTCCGCTACGCGTTGCTTTTCCCCCTTCCACTCCTTTTCAGCTCCATTTCCTTTGATCTTTCAATTCATTCTAATGATGTCCCTGGATTCCTCAAATCATGTGGAGAAGAACCTACCTATTGTTACTCGTGATTCGCGTCTACTTTGCGCTCTCGCCCAGCTATCTCCATCCAGATGAGAATTTCCAAGGCCCAGAGGTTTTCGCAGGTATGTCCAGTTGCCCAGTTCACGCCCAATTCCTGCGTTTTAATGCGACGCACTTTTCTATTGCGCTTTCTATTACGCGTTGCGCTCCTCGAAATCCACGAACGCGATACGCAGCACCCGCGCTCCCCTATACGAGGGAAAAAACAACACTGACCAGATCGCCCCAAATTAGGTCGCATATTCTCATACCCGTCGAAACTACCATGGGAGTTCACAGTGGAACACCCTATTCGCAGCATCTTCCCATTATGGGCGACTTACGAGCTGCCGATGAACCTGTTGAAATGGTTCTATACCGAGATCGGGTCCGGCAGCCCACCACCACAACTGGTCTACTATGCGCTGCGCGGAGGAATGTTCCTATTGAGCTTTGTGCTGGAAGACTGGGCGATCTATGAGCTAGTGCCCTCTCCGCGGCATCGGCGCGCGACGGTGGTGCTGGTGGCCTCCTCGTATGTCACCTGGACATATCAGACGCACACCTTCTCCAACTCCCTCGAGACCCTGTTGGTTGCCTGGGGGTTGGTTTTGATTCGGCGCATTGTCGAGAATAAGGTAAGATAGCACAGACCTAATGCAGGCTCTTGCGCTGACTTTTATACAGAAGCGCGCCTCCTTCTTCGCCCATGTTGTGCTCGCCTTCATCGCCGTCGTGGGCGTCTTCAACCGCATCACCTTCCCGGCTTTCCTCATAGTCCCGGGCCTGCAATTGCTGCCTCACTTCCAGCGCAAGTACGTACTTCAAGTCCTCAGCTGAAGCCCCCTCAAACTGACACGTCCAGACCAACCTCCCTCCTCGCCTTCCTCGCCTCCGGCCTCCTCTTCGCGACAATAGCAGTCTTCACAGACACCATCTTCTACCGGCCAACAGCAACCCTCCTCTCAGCCCTCCGCTACCCAATAATAACACCGCTAAACAACCTCCTTTACAACACCGATACCGCAAACCTAGCAGTCCATGGACTACACCCACACCACCAACACTTCACAGCAAACCTGCTCCAACTCCTCGGTCCAGCCTACATAGCAATGATAGTCTCCCTCTTCAGCTACCCGCTCGTGCCATCCTGGATGCGCAACGTGCGCGCCCTCTCCGCCCTCTCAGCAACAATGCTCCTCTCCCTCTTCCCCCACCAAGAACCACGCTTCCTCCTCCCCTGCGTCCCCCTCCTCCTAAGCTGCGTGCGCATGCGCCGCTCCCGCCTCGTCCTCACGATCTGGGTCCTCTTCAACGCAGCAATGGGCTTCCTGATGGGCGTCTACCACCAAGGCGGCGTGGTCCCCACCCAGCTAGCAATGCGCGACATCGTCTCAGCCAGTACAGGCCCATACACACCCGACGCAACAGTCTTCTGGTGGAAAACCTACTCCCCACCATTGTGGCTCCTGGGCACGGACACGGACGCAGATGGAAACAACGCAACAGAGATCCTCACGCAGGATCTAATGGGAACACCAGGCCTGGAAATGATCCAACACCTCGACGCAGCAGTACCGAGCTGCTCCTCCTCCTCCCCTTCATCGATCTTCCTCGTCGCACCTACATCAGCCGAGTTCCTAGATGCATACGCCCTCTCCGCGTCTGCGTCTACACCTGCAGACCAATCCCCGGATATAAAACTCCACCCATTATGGTCCTACCGGCAACATCTCAACCTAGATGATCTCGACTTCGCGGAAGACGGAATCCTCCCTACTCTAAAGCGGGTTATTGGACGTCGGGGATTGGGCGTTTGGGCTGTGCGTCGATCTTGCAAATAGTCAAGCAGAGCAGTACATCTATACATTTCCCATCTCCCTGGTTTGGAATGGTATGTTGATTTGCACGTGGATTTGGATTGGGATATGGATTTCGCTATTTCGGTTGTCTATGTTATTTTCTACTTTCTATTCTTTTCCCTTTTTTATCTCATATCTCATATATTTTGCATGTGTCGGGTTGGCTGGATACAAGATACCTTTTGCATGGTCTTTTGGGTAGGCGTGATTGAATTGAATTGAATTGTTACATTCTCTATACTGTACTTCATAGGTGGTTGCATATCATAGTGTAGAGCTTATAAGTTACATTGGCTTTTGCACGTAGAAATGATCCCTATCAAGTAGCCCAATTTGGGTTCTGGTCAGCTGGAACGGAATCGAAGCTTTTGATGGTGGGCGACCTGGTGACTATACTTCCACTTCCACTTGTGACTTGATAGGGAATGGAGGTGGGGTGAGAGGTTGTACAACCCACCTATATGTAACTCAGTGTAGATCTTGTAGCTAGTAGATCATGTCTGCATTTATATCATAGGGGGTACTCCCGTTTTACTGGTTATGTATCTGAAGTGGTTGGTATTATGGATGTGGGGATATATACTTTCGATCCATGTACTTCCCGGGTACTTCCACACTGGTCATCTGTATCTTCTGTATTTGGGTTTATGCAGAATGT